AGTTAATGATATAAAATAGCAAAATCCGTTCGCTAACAAAATTTTAAAGGTGCATTAACTTACAAATCATTCGATGAATGTTATGATCCTTGTTTTCAAAAATTATAAGCTGTATAAGGTCTTTCTTTAATATGCAAGTACTTTCGACTGTACATTCAGTCAGTGGAAATTATTTTTTTTTTGGTAAAATTCAGGTGGCATCCGAGATGAATGAATATAATTTGAATCGAAATATGTTTTTTTTTTTTTTTTTTTAAATGTGTTATTGATAACGGATACAAACTTTTGGAGCATGCAGTCGCAATGCTAAGGTTGAATTTTTTTGAAAAAAAATGTGTGTGTGTATCACTGAGTGTTAAAGGAAGATGGGTAAGGAGAAAACTGGTTCTTCCCATTTCTTGTCTGTAAGATTACAGGTATTTATGGCCATGCCTATTTATATATTTATTATTTTATTAATTTATGTATGTCATTTATTTACTTTTTTTTATATTTTTTTTTATTATGTTAGCTACAACCAGACCATGACCAAGAAGACTAAATAAAATCCCATAAACTAAATCTAATAAACTTTATTCCAAATATCAGAACTTAAAACAGAAGAGAAATATATGTAAAACAAATGATGTGTGCGCACAGACACACACACACACACATATATATATATATATATATATATATATATATATATATATATATATATATATATATATATAAAATATCTGTGTTAGACACACAACAAAAACACTTTCACGTAGGCTAAGTCTTTACCTGAATAATACTTTCAATATTTCTTAAGATTTACAACAACATACCTACTCACACGCAACTCAGAAAAATCCTCGTTGAAAATGCCTACATACTTTTCCACGAAAAGAATAAGCATAAACTAAAAATTCTCAAAGCTATTTATATAAAAATATTGAAACCAACCCTCAATAAAATTAATTACGAATACTCCACAATACTCAAGACATTTTAAAATGTGTACAATATATAGTCTTTAAATGTTAGCACTTGTTATTAATAGTTCTTCCTTTATCTAGCAACTACTCAAGTCTGAAATTTTTCCACAGCATGCTTAGTTACCTTCCCCTTAAACGGTGTCTGTCAACCAAGCCATGACACAGCATTCTTGACTCCACATATAAAAATGGTAATCTTCAGATGACCACAACAATTTTTGTCCTTCGCAACCATGAACACTAAATACTTACTGTATATTAAACAATGCCCTGATGATGACGTTATGCTATGTCGAAAGTACTCGGGATAAATGCAGTATGAGCCAACACAGTGTTTTCATCTCATTTTTTAACAACCACATAAAAAAAGCTTATTCGCGAATATGAAAGGATCCTCTTGAAAATAAGTAGACAGAATGTGTCTAAATTATTTAACGAAACCTGGCTTTATATATATATATATATATATATATATATATATATGTGTGTGTGTATTTAATCAAAAGATCATGACCATAAATAACTCAACATTAGCCCTAAACAAAGACGATATGAACCTAATGGTCACTATGCAGTGCTGATTACTATATTTATTACTTTATTTATAAATGGTCGATCTTCGATTTTGAGCATTTTTCTATCAATATAGCAAATTTTAAAAATTGTGTGTGTGTATGTAAATGATAGAATTTCCTGTTGTCTGCAGTTAACTTACTGTTTATTCACATCATTTTGAACAACTAGGGTCATTTCAAGTCAAATTGTCCTGAAGATGGGAATAAACATTAAACTGTGTAGCGATATCAGTGTCTTCTGATATCTTATTAAATGAAAAACAGCTGACCAGTGACAAAAATGGATTTGTATATTTGTCCCCACTGTCCAATGGTTATCAGCTAATTGAAGTGGACTTCACAAATACATGGCAAGTGGCTTGGACAAAGAGAGTGATTGAATTAAGATAAATTTCTTTTCTAGACAAAGATGATAAGACAAAAAATAATATTCTGTATAAAACAGTGGCAATTGTCCGTGAAAAGGGCAGAGAGTTGAAGAGGGTCCTAAGAGAATGATGTGAAAGGGATGATGCCTGTTGGACTATTCACCTCCTATATGCCTCATCTAAGCTTCACTCGTCTATAACAATATGTTACAACCTGATCATAAAATCTGCTTACTGCTAAAAATTCTCATGGTCTTAATACTGCCCGAAGTGTTATTTTTTAGTGACAAGCATTTGACTGAAAGAAGCTGCACCCTGAGAACGTACCTGGTGTCTGGTCTCCAACTCTTCATTTTTTAATCAAACATTGCTTACCAACAGCACAAGTTACTTGCATCTTTTATTTAATTTTACACTGTAATTACATTAAGCAATGGAAAAAATAACCAAATGCTAAAACTTATTGATGGCATGTCAAAAATGGTGTCTCCATTACTAATGAATATGACTTATTTTTCCACCTTGTTTTAAGAAATGAAAAACAACAATTATCAGTTATATATCATTTTAACGAGAACAAAAATATTAGTTTTAATTGGGTTTTGAGAAAACTTTGATCTTTTATATAATTTTGTCATTGTGGAAATTGTGATATGTGATTTAATTTTTTTTTTTAAGTTTTATTTTCACACATTAAATTATAGTTCAGTAAGTGCATGTTTTTCAATGAATGTATATCTGTTGGAATGTATATTCCTTTTGCCTTCAAGTCTCTTTCACTCACTCTATCTATCTATATACCTATCAAAATATGTGTTTGTGTACATATATATTATCATATTTAGTGTTAGCTGAAAGCAAATCATATAAAGATGAAAGTTTGTCAAACTTCAGATAAAAAAACAAAAGAAAAATACTTTTAACATTTAATGTCAAAACCATTGTTCGAAAATACAGTATTTACTGAATGCGTAAAGACTCAACCCTATATAAACTGAAGTGCCAAAAATTTTGCTGCCTGATAATGTGTAGCTCCTCCCTTCACTCAAATAATAGTGGCTAAGTTATGTAGCATAGAATCTCTGAGAGGCTCTAATTGTGTTTGGTATATCAATCCAGGTATGTATCAAGGCTGATTATAAATGAGTTGAATTTATTGGGTGTGGCTGCAGGGAATTTTGTGAAGTCTGTAACATATCCTCTATATAATCAATGACACTGAAATCTGGAAACTGTAGGGGAAAATTGAGTACCTGAAAGTCAGCCATCTCTTTGTGGAACCACATTTATATTACCTGTGTCCAATGGTGGTATTCAACTATCTCTGCTGGAATGACCAGTCATTTCTGAGAAAGATAGTGGGTATAAAGAGGTCATCAATATGACATGTGTATATCACATCTTTCAATATAAACGCCATTTTCAATAGTAGTCCTTGAAAACTTTAAGATAACAATCTGCAGAACCCAACATCTTGCTGGTAGACTGGATCTATAGCTTTGTGTAGTCTTCTCCACAAAGGAAATCAGCTATATCATGTAGAAATACTAGCTCCCATAGGATTACTGAAGTTCAGCAATATCAAGCCGGGTCATTAGCTAGAGGAGTGACCTCTTGTGAATACCAGGTGCTCTGATCTTGGATGTATGGGTGGCGTAAGGGATAATATCTAGGAATTAATTGGAATTGAATTAATTAAAGTTCCAATTCTAGTTGGGTTTGTTATATTTACTCATGTGCAAATATCCTTGGGAATAGTATGAATTCATCTCTTCTCCCTCCAGCTATGGGTTAAATAATAAGACAATCAGTAAATTATTATTATATCCCCAAAATTCTTAAAATCCAGAAATATTTAAATTAGCTTTAAATAAACTGCAAAAAGTTGATAAGCCATAAGAAAACATTCAATTAATCAATCTGCAAAAAAGTGCTGAAAATATGCTTGATGATGCATCATGTCACCACTGTCCAATAGTGATGTTCTTTGAATCAAGCAAAGTGCAATCTGTTGGTGCAGTGTCAATTATAGTGCTCATCTATGGAACTCCCTACACTGCAGTGTGCACTGTACTCTGCATTAAGTGATGATGGGTATGACCTTATGACTGTTACTTGGTAAGGGGAACTAGGACAGTTATCACATTAGAGAAATAACCTCTTTTTCTGGCCCCAGCAATCACTCCATGATTAAACTATATTAAATCCTGTCTAAATCTCCTGGATGCCACTGCTTTACTGCAACAGCTATATTGTCTTTCGACGTGGTGTAATGGTTAGCAAGCTTGTCTTGCTAGAACAATTACAACTGAATAGTGAGTTTAAACCTCACTGGGTGCCCCATACTTTCAGCCTTTTACCACATCTAAGCTACGCTTAGAAAATAACCATATGTCATCTTACTGTGTTTCTTCTGTAGCTGGTTAAGTATTAAACCATCTGCTGTATTGCTGTCTCTAATATTTTGGCACTTCATTTGAATGTGTGTCCCAATATCAAATCCCAAATAGAAATTAATGCTGGTCAGTCATTAATAATAGACATTTGTCAAGTGAAGCTTTTTCACAGTGCATACTCTCTGAAATCAGACAAAAAACAAGATGAGTCTTTACCCTGTTTATGAAATGGGTGTTGAAACGTTCTCAGACTGAGCCACTTTTCAAAATCTGACCAAGTGAATTCTGGGATGACGATTAATATGTTGGTTCATGAATTTGGTGGCATAGTAATTAGGAGTTCAATCTCTAGGTTGGGTAGTACAGATGCAGATTCAGTGGAAACAGTGTGTGCAATAACTGGGCAGCATGAAAAAAAATGACTATGACATGAACAGTGGAAGGAGAACAATCTCTCTCCTTGTAGATTAAATAAAGGGTTCAGTTTAAAATTCCCTGTAAGTTACCTGGATTGACAGACATCTGAAAAAATCTAGAGGGCACATCTGAAATTTTGTGATAACAACGACAACAACACAGATAAGGACATTAGTCTAAATATAAATAATCAGAATTTGTTTTTGCAAGTAATTTATTTTAATACGTTATTTATGCAAGCAATTTATATTTACACACTGCTTTCTTTTGTTTTTATAGTCTGTAGATCCTTCATACCAGCAAAATTTCTTTGAGCCGCAGCCTTCCTCTTCAGATCGTAACTTATCTACTATGGAGGATCTTTTACAAGATGAACAGGTAAGACTTTTAAAAACTTTTTTTCTTTAGCTACTTTATGACAGTCTGTTTCAGGTTGAATCTTGACTATTGTTTTTGGTTTTATACACATGCTGTCCTTTCGAGTCATTAGATAGTGTATACTTGATATTAATTGTATGACTCAACCATCATTGTGACTTTTGGGACACTTGGTATTTGATATTTTCTTTCTTGTAATACATCCTTCACAAATGGATAACTTAAGAATGCATACTCAAATGCTTACATTTTGACAAGAGGGGAAACAAAATGTTTTCAGCTTAACCAAGAAGGGATGTTATTTTTTCTATTTTTTTTTAAATACTGATATTCATTTGATTTTGGGAATTGGGTTGGGCTGAGAACATTTCAGCATCCCTCCATGCACCCACACATTTGTTTTTATGTGTTTATATGCTATTTATGTACATAGGTTTATACATATATATGATAAAATATGGTTTTACGATATGATATATTTATAGGGTAAAAGTGCTCAATACCAGGGCATATAAATATAAAAAGTGTTGACATCAGTGTCCATACTTCTTACATGCCCATACATATGTGTGTGTGTGTGTGTATGTAAAAGTGAACATTGAAGTCTTCATTGTTCGATTTTATATCTATATTTACATATGCTCTATCTCTGATATTGAACACTTTATCCCATAAATACAGCACACCTTAAAACTATATTTCTTCATATATATATATATATATATATATATATATATATATATATATATTTTTTTTTTTTTTTTCATTACCTTCTTTATAAAAGAAAAATTAATATTATGTTGATGTTTTTTGGTAAAAGCCTGTAAAAATGAAAATAAAATACTTTTGAGATACCCTAATATTATCCAAATTATGATCGCATGAACTGGCCAAAAACAAATTTCAAAAAAGATTTTCCCCTTTCTGACATCAAATCTGTCAATTCTGTTATCGTCTCTTGTGAAATATCTGTCCAGACTGTACTGAAAACCTAATGGAAATCTTTGAAGAAAAATTTTGTAAACATTTCCCCTATTTTATTATTTTTTATGTGTTTGAATGATTTACACATTAAATAAAGGAACCAATTTAACTGATCATTGTCATTTCATCTATTTAACCCTCTGATAGTAATTTTACTCCATCTGAACATTAATAAACTGAATATAAAAGTAGACAGTAAACAGATAAAATGAAATATTCCGGTTTTTATCTTCAAAACTTCAACTTTCTCAGAAAAGGTCAGTGGATTAGGTAGGAAATAGAATTTATTTAATAGATCATGACATCTATCAGAGAAATGAAATTTAAATTTTTATTATTGCATCATTACAAAATTTTAACACATCAGCAGATAGCTATTAATATCAACAACTGAGCACAAATAGTTACTAATTAGAAAAATTAGTAATTAAAATGTCTTTTTAATTAAGCTGTCTTTTCCATCAAGATCAATGTCATACTTAAGATTTATGCCATACTTAAGATGTTTATTCCATCAAATATCAAATAATCCAAGATGAATAATGAAAAAAGCATCTTGGGTGTTTATTTATTATAAGCCTTTAAATTTCATTATTGGAATAATTTCAAAATCACCAATAAATTATGAATAAAAAAAATATTGCTTTATTTTAACCTTCTAAATAGATTTTATTTTCTCTCATTGTTTTATATCATTTTTAACTTTTCCATTCCCCAAATATGTTTTGTAATTTTATAACATCTTCCTATTACATTGCTATGTACATGTATACCATTGTTTATAAACTAGTTTTGTCTGACTTTCTTTTTTCAGTTTTTACGTTTACAAGGTAAAAGCAAACGTGGAAAAGAACAGATTCAAATCATGGATGTAAACACAGATGACTTCATTGACACGTCGGAACTTACAAAAACTCTTACTCAAGAAATGCCCAAACATTCTCATAAAAAGAAGAAAGACGCTCCAAGCAAGCAGTCAAGAAGCAAGCATCAAATCACTTACTTAGCTTATCAGGTACGATCAGTTATTCTCACTTTACTGCTATGCAGATTTTCACTTATTACTATTTTCTAGTGGAATATCATAATATTTACAAAAGAAAAAAAAGTCTCATTTTCACAATATATCATTAAAAATCATTAAGAATTACAGACACATGATAATAGCTTGCCCTGAGTGTGAGTCAGGACTATCCTGCCCAAGGATTGAACTCTCAGTTACTGTGTCATCAAATTCATAACCCATCACTTTAATCCACTAGGCTACTGTCTCATGGGGTAATCCTGAATCTAGAACTTGTAGGCGTATATATTGTTTACTTTGCTTGCCTGCTACTGACACTGCAGCTAATCTACAGTGGGTAGACTGTTCTTGTTCCACTGCCTATGTCTAGGGCATGTTTAATTCCATAGATTAAATGAAGGGTTCAGTTCAGAATTCCTTGTAGAGCAATATACACCTGAGGAAGTCCAGAGAGCACAAAGGCGAAAATATTGTGGTTACAACAACAAAGATGAGGGCAATAATCTGAATATATATAATGTAAATGATAACTCATCTCAAAAATTCAGAAAGAAACAGAAAATGTGGTTATACAGAAGCTTGATGAGAATACCATAACATAACAATGTTCTAGAAATGATGGCAACAAGAATGACACTGAAACTTAACATCAGGAAGAGACAGTTGAAATTTCTAGGGCACATAATGATGAAAGAGGGCTTAGAAAATTTGATACTCACAGGACAGATTGCAGGTAAGAAAGACAGAGGAAAGCAACACAAAACCTACCTGGTGAGTTTGAGTGAATGGATAGTGGGGCGAGGTTTGGGAGAGATGGCAAAAAGAGAAAACTTATTAAGAGCTACAAAAAACAGGAAATTGTGGAGAGTCATAATTGCCAAAGTCCTGAAGGGACACAGCACAAAGAAGATCTGCTATTATCAGTCCACCTATATGGTAGTGAATGTACAATCTTCTCACAGATGAAGAAGAAACTTAAGGTGATAGAAATATGGTTCTGTAGACTGATGCTGAGAATAATGTGGACTGAACATGTTAATATTGAAGACGTTTTAAAGAAAATGGACACTTAGAATCAGAATGAGACATTTGAAATTTATTGGGAGCATAATGAGTAAAGCTGGTTGTGAGTATTTGATACTCATAAGACAGATTGAAGACGTGAGGGTCAGTGAGAAAGAAAAAAAAAAAACACATAACTTAGCTCATGAGCTTATATAAATGGATGATAGAATAGGGATTAGGGCAGACAACAAAAAGACAAAAATTATTTAGTGCTACAAAGGACAGATAATTATGGATAGCCATGATCACCAATATCCTGTTGAGACGGGACACATAGAAGAATTATTATCATGTGGAGTTGTTTTCAGAATTGGAAATTTCACTTGCAGCTCAATATACTTTGATGGCATAATGTTAATTTACAATGATTTTTTTTTTTTACAGAACGTGAATATTTGTTTTGAATCATAATACAATATATTTTTGTCAATGAAATTAGTTTTCAAAATTGATCCATGTATTTTTATAACATTTATACTGAATGAAATATTATTCAATTTCCATTCTATAATTAATTTAAATCGCTTTTTATTTTACCATGAACTTGTTTTCATTAATTTAAATACATTTTCCTGTAATGTTTAAACTTAGAGAAAAGTGACGCCATTTACATTAACCTAGTTTTTTTTTCTTTTTTTTTTTTTACAATAATTAAACTAACGACTGTTCTTCAAGACAATATTGAATAAGGTACATTATTCATTTTCTCATTTGATATGGATTACATCCCTTGAATACGAATGGTTTCATTTTAAATCCAAATCAGATTCTTTTTGTCGTAATGTCTATTTATATAAAAATAATCTATAAATAATGATATTTCATGTAGAAATAAAGTTTATCTCAAACCAAAATTAAAATATTTAGTTGAAAAGCTTGCTTGATTTTTTTTTTCCCCCTCTTTCATTCCATGAAAACCCTTTGATAAGATTTTATTTAAACTGTTTTAGTTAAAGAAGGGGAATTTATAAATTATAAATTTATATTTAAAGTCTTAAAATTCTCATTTTGTATCTTTAAATCAAAGGACCAGTTCTTTTAAGGATAACAAATTCTTGGTCTTTCTCAAATTAATAAAATTGTTAATTAATTGGTTATGTTTAATAGCACATTAATGCCCACAACCCCACTCCAGTCATTATTATTGGGTTTTAATTAATTTTAATAATTATTATTGGGTTTTAATTAATTTTAGTAATTATTATTGGGTTTTAATTAATTTTAGTAATTATTATTGGGTTTTAATTAATTTTAGTAATTATTATTGGGTTTTGATTTTAATAATTATTATTGGATTTTAATTAATTTTAATAATTATTATTGGGTTTTAATTAATTTTAGTAATTATTATTGGGTTTTGATTTTAATAATTATTATTGGATTTTAATTAATTTCAATAATTAATGTTGGATTTTAATTAATTTTAATATTGTATTTTCTATAAACCTATAGTTAATACTGGATTTTTTTAAACATTAATACCAGATTTTTATTTTATTTTTTTATAATTAACACTGGGTTTTACATGACCCAGTGGGTTCTAGTTATTTATCCAGAAAGAGAAGTTAATTTGGAAAATGAATTTATTAAGCTTTTGTATGAAAATGGATACCTCCTTAATACTATTTTTTTCCTTGTAAACCTATAATTATTACCAGATTTTTATTTTATTTATTATAATTAACTCTGCATTTTACATTCAGCAGTAATGGTTTAAAACAAAAAGTGAATTATGTAAAAATTAAATTATTTCACATTATTTATATATAAATAAAGTGATTACTGTCAACTACAGAAGAATAAGTCATCTTTTTCTCCCAACCACTAAAGTTTCAGCTTCACTAGAAGATCATTAATTATGACCAACAAACTCATCTTAGAATTGGTGCCATAGTTAAGTGCTTTTTTTCCCTGGTGCTAGAAAGGAGTATTTTTTTGGTATGAATGCAAAATATTTTGCTAAATTTTTTAATAAAATGGAAGAAGTGAATTTATAAAAGTCATCTTTTAAAAAAGTTTGTTTTGTCAAGAATTTCTTTATATGATTCTTATATATTTTTTTTTTCTTAAATTTCTTTACAATTTTTGGTCTAATCCATTCTCCAACCTTGAATTCTATTAAGATTATTCAAAATCTTACAGATATAGTTTTGCTTCTAATCCAGTCTATTGATTATGTCATAATACAAAGGATCTTTTTTGCCAACTCATTAAGCTTTATAGCAGTAGTTACACTGTAATGGTAATATATATATATATATATATATATATATATATATATATATAGTGTAGCTACCAAATTAAACTGATTAGCTTATTGACGAAAAAAAAAAAAAAAAAAAGAGTATCAACACATTGTCAGACTGCATTATAAGTAGAACTTGTACAACTCTGTACAGGACAAAATATTTACATGAACAAGGCAGGAGAATAGAGTATGGAAATTTTGCAAAAAATCCCTAAAAATATGATGAAAATAACTCAAATTATGTGAACAATTGATTTCTTTGTCTTTTTTATCTTTTACTGAATTGATGTGATTTCTTAAGGAATATCCAGTGATATAAAATTAACTGGAAATAAGATGACTTAAAAAAAGTGAATGAGACAGAGTTGTGGAGAAGAGGAGTTAAAGATTTAAAGTTCTTTGTTTTTTACTTTTTGTTTTCCAGAAATTGCTAAAAATAAAAGTCTGAAAGAAAGTGGTATAAAATATCTATAGTTTAGAATTTTTATAATGAAATTCTCAACTAGATTATCGGTGAAGACGATCATTTTGTTATAAACACAAATACGTTATAAACTCTCACATGTTTTTTAGCCTGAATATTTTTTCAGGCAATATCTCTTATTTTCCCAAATAAGATAAAATTGTTTTTAAAAATAAAATAACTAAGATACATTGTTCTCTTATATCCTGTTAATCTAGTAATAAATGCTCTTTGACTAAATATTACTTTAAAAAAAAAGAAACCTATCCTTTCACAGAAACCGATTTTAGTTTCATATAAGGGAAGCAACTCTGATAGTCTTAAAATTAATGTTCGTCAGTTTTGATTTTTCTCTCATGTGGACGAGTTTTTCCAGCTTAAAAATATATTATTAGCTGCTACTTCGATTCGGTGCACACATTTTGAGTTTGATTATTCGATGGGAAAAAAAAAATCTGTATGGATTCTATTAGGAAAATTGATGAATGTCTTTAAAAAAAATTCTGTCATAATATTTATCACTATTAATGCATTTACTTTATGAAAGGCTGCAAAGTCATTATGCAGATTTGCTAAACTATGATAATTTAAGAGATTTTTATGGAAAATGATTATTATTACTATAGGGATGCTGAAAAATTCTCAGCCCAACCAAAAAAAAAGGATTCCAAAAGAAATTGTGATATTCAGTCAGATTTTGGAAAGTGGGCTAGGCCGAGAACTTTTCAACATCTTTTGGGACTTGCTTTCTAATGTAATCATTACATATGCATTAAAAGAATATTTGCCTCATGGCAATATTAGTGGAGTTATTTATATTCAAAATGGAACGGCGAGTCCTTTTTAGTTGAAAATTTCTGATTTATTACAAGATTATTTTTTTTAGTAGAATTTATTTGTAATTTGTTTTATGAATTTGTCACATTTATTTATCACTTATTTATATCTGTGATTGAAGATAACTTTATTTCTTAAGTTACACGAATGTAAATTGTACACTATTGATTATGGCATGTGAAAAAGATTAATTTTTATTTTTCTATCCAGTTTATTACTGGAATTGTAATTTAAAACTCTGCATGAATTTCCGATGAGTGTAAACTGTACTTGAGCAGAAATTATCTCGAATGCATACATTAATTAAAAGTGCTTTTTTTTTTTCTTTTGTCAACTTTTCTGTCTTTTTCAAAAGTGAATCTAATATAGTTCTCTTTTAACATACATTAAAAGTTAAACACAATTTTAACTTAACAGCTACAGATTGGTTGAATGTCTGCTTACAGATATACATGCAAAATTGTTCCTCATACTCATAATATACTGATACCAATACAGCTTAATTCTTTTCCATGCTTATCTTGTCTTTATACAGGATGATAAAAATAAGGCACTTGGTAGTACTACAAGAGACTAATTGACAAATCTTTGCTCAATGGAGGTGCTACATACTCACACACACACACACACATACATGGTCTGATCAAAAAGTATCGGGGCCGTTGCTATGGTATTGGTGCTAAAGTACATAGCGGGAAGCCTCTTAGCACAGATTGACCTTGAACTCTGTTGAACATGTACACTATCTTGTTCAGTTGTTTATAGCAGTGCTTGGAAGGAAAGTATGTAGTGTGGTCATCTCACCACACTACAGAGGTTCCATCTGTGACCATGGCTTGTGCAGCAGTTTTTGGCTGACATTTCCTCCATGTTTAACAACCACAATATTCCCCTTTTCCTCTTTCCAAAAATCAAATCACACTTGAAAGGAAGAAAATTTCATGACATTGAAGAAATCCCAAGACAGCTGCTTGCTATCCCAGAAAAGGAGTTCTGGAAATGCTTCAATCAATGGGAATGACACTAGATAATGTGTGTGGCTTCGGAAGAGGCTACTTTCAAGAAGATTAAATGCCGATTACATACGTGTTGTAGTCTCCTTTTTAAAGCACCAGTGTGGATACTTTTTTGATCAGACCTAGTATATGTATATATATGTTATTTTTTGTGGATACTGAATATTCAAGGAATCTTATTAAAGAAAAATGAGTCTTTGGCAGAATTTGAACCTGCATTCCCATTTTCAGGAGAAACTGTCATTAGATCCAATGCGCTTTTAACTGACTTGTCCAGGAAGAGCAGCATCTATTAAGCAAGTTTATATACTGCATTTATGAACATCCCTCTCGATTAAATTCCTGAAAGTTCATAAGAAATAATGCATTTTTATTAATCCAACATATTTTTATCACACACACACATGGTATATTTTGACCGCAATCCTTCAAACATTTTATATTAAATGAAATTAACAAGAAATGTTTGTTAATCCTTTTAGTGAGCTTCTGGTGTTGAAAAAATTGGTATCTGGTAGAAACTTGTAACTTGCCAAAATAGTTATATATGCTGTTCAGAGTACTTTTGATCATTGTCAAGGAAAGAAGGTACATATCAAGAGATAGCTAGTGGAATGTTGTTAACGGTCTGGAGTTTGAAATAAACAAGAGTTCCCATGCTAGATTGATGAAATAGATTTTATCAAATATAGCTAAAATGACCTTATATCTAAAACTTATTTTAACACATGTTCTCTGAGATTGAAACAAATTTTATTGATGCTGGGTTGCCATCTTTTGATACAAAGGGCTTTGAAAGCTTTTGTTTCTTGCAGTTGGATTGGCAGAGTACTGTTGCATTGATAACAGTCATCTGATGATAATTAGAAGGTTGGGCATTGTAGACTTGTATTAAATGTTTATATCTGGCACTTGGTTCAGAAAGATGGCAGGTTAACATTTTGGAGATGGATGTTGTAGTATGACCAACATATGGTGATGATGTATTTTTTTAATTTTTTTTATTAACACAGTCTCCAAATGAATAAAGTAATTAGTTTCCAAATTTAGTCTTTATATGTAAATATAAAATTGAGATTTAAGAAGTTCACTTTCTTTATTTCTTTGAGATAAGGAAGAAGATTACTGTAATTGGCAAATCTTTGGGTTGAGAAATTTAAAAAATTTGAAAAGCATTTTAATCATTGTCTGGACAGATTTCTTTATTTTGTTGTATTTATCATGGCCACTATTTCCTTACAGATATGCTTGTAAAATCCTATTCTTCATACACAAATAATAATACTGCTTACTTCTCAAGACATTTACATGCTTATTTTGTCCTCACACAAGATCATGAAAGTAAAGCACCTAGTAAACATTGATTTAGTGATTCTATGGCCTATCAACCTCTTGCAGGTTATTTAAACCAAAACAAATATTTTTAGATTGTAAGAATTCTTTGTAGATAATGGTTTAGTGATACAAGTCTTACTAATTAACTCAGAGGTGAATAGATTCATACCTTTCCCAAGAAAAAAAAGTAAATATAACTAACACAACAGGAATTGGAACTCAACTCTCTGATTAAGTTCCAAACCATTATTTGTTACACCACCTGCATATCCTCGATTATAGCACCTGGTATTCCCAAGCGATTACCCATCCAAGTACTGACCAAGCTTGATGTTGCTTAACTTCAGTGTTCGTATGGGATCTGGTGTTTCAGTGTGATGTGGCTGTAAACCTAGTAAAGATTAAACACATTAATAATAGTACAAGTGATTAATTGACAAACCTTTACTCACACACAGCGAGATGTTGTATATCATGGCCTTTTAGATGTTTATACTTATCCATTTTAATATTTCAGACAATTTTTAGTAAAAAAAAACTAAGGAACATTGTATCTTGAAGATCTATAATGTCTTCTTGGTGTTGACACCAATAAAAAAACACTGTAACATATTTACCTTTTTGAAGTTACTCTAACAGGTGAAAAACTGCAGAAAGAAATTTCTAACTTGATGTGTTGTAGATATTCAACTGAATAAGTGTTCAATTCACATGCAAAATAATCATTTTTATCTTTCTTAACTTTTTTTTTTTCATTATTTCTTTAATGTTATGATTTCATTGTAAAGGATCATAAAAATAAGTGACAGAAAAACATATTTTATTTTTGGCCATTAATAACACCATTTTTTGCAATAAGAATTTTGTATAGCTCTATCTTAAAAATTATTGTATACTAGTTTTAACCCTAAAAATTTTGCAGTTTTCCTATTTTAAATTGCTGTTGAATCTTAATTGTTAAATTAATGATTGAATAAGCACATGGCGAATTCTATGACAATCAAATATCCATAGAAATTCCCCTATTGCATTGTCAACTATTTGAGCTTAACAAATTGCAAAAACAATCATAAGTATGAATTCTGGTTGATATTTTAAAAAGTAGGGAAATGTAAATGAAAAGATTTGAAATTGAGAATTTTTTTCCATTTCACTGAAACAGACATTAAACAGTTTTATCTTTCATTCCCTTACTCAAACTAAGTAGTATCTTTGATATGTCTTTTGTCTTCTCACGTGATCAAAATGGAATAATTCATTATTTATGAGGTATTAGCAAAAGGCATTAAACACTTCTAGCTTCCTTTTTTCTTTTTTTTTTCACTGAAAACAAGTAGCAGCTTTGATATGTCTTGTCTTTCCACACAATCAAAACAGAATTGTCCATTATTTATGATTTATTGGCAGAGCATAATGGTCGTGCAAGATAAGAAAATTCGGGACAAGCGCAATTATAATATGATAGTGAAAATAGCCAACTAAAATTCCATCAGGAGTTCTGTATTACATAAAGCAGTTGACTTTTTTCAAAGCTGCCATCAATAAGGGAGATAACTTTTGTTTTCATCTGGAACACTGAAGAATTGATTTTTTAAAAATATAGCAGCGAATTCATTAAATGATATTAATATATGTTCGTTTTCTATAGGGGATTTTGTGACATTCTTTGACATGGTAAATATTCAATAGTTGTTGAGGAATTTTATAGAATTATCATTACGCATAAGTTTTTTTTGCTTTTAATTCAGATTATTTTCATAATGTTTTGTTGATGAGAAAATCTGATTGGCAAAAAAAAAAAAATTAAAAATTAATTTATGTTTGTATTAAAAAGGTTTTATAGCTGTGTTTGTTGTTTTACATAACTTTTTGAAAGATTTTAAACAAATTAAATATTAAATACAAATCTTAGGTGGATAAATAATATACATCGATATTAAGTTGATATATATATATTTTGAATAATAAAAATATTAAAAAATTAAAAACACACTGGGTTGTAGATTAATATTCTTTCGTTGTTATTATTATTATTTCATTTAGATTCCTCAACTAGTTTCGGCCAACATGGCCATTATCAGGAGAAGAAATATTTCTGCTTGCTGGTAGCAGTGAACTACATAAATGAAAGCTTTGATGGAGAAAATGAACTTTTGTCTGTAGTTTTAATTTTAATTTTTTTATCTTTTTATAACATGAATCTTTTAACATTCCTTGTGTTGGTCAAACAGTCTCTTTTAAGTTGTTATTTGAGATAAGAGCTGGATGGATCCATGCTGCTCTGAATTCCCCTGGTCAGTTTGACAGTTTTATTGGTTCCTGGAGAGGGTATGTGTCTCTGTTAAGTGTGTGTGTTATTTGGTTCTTAGGGAGTGAGTGAGTATGATATGTGTAAGCGTGTATATTGCTGTGGGTGTGTGTTATCATTTGGCACATTAGGGAGTGAGTGAGTGAGTATGATATGTGTAAGTGTGTATGTTCGTGTGGGTGTATGTATAAGTGTGAGGCCTCAACACCTCCTTAAGCATGTCTGTCTTGTGTGGGTGAGAAATGTGGGTACGTTTTGATTTGTATGGTTATATATTAATACTGTCTATATTGTTAAATTTATGGTTTAGCCCAGCTGGATATTGTGTTTTTATATATATATATATATATATATAATATAATATATATATATATATATATATATATATATATAAATGATACTAGCATTATTTCATAATTGTTACATTTTTTTTTTTTTTAATGATTTTACTATATAAAATGATGATTAGAACTGATAGAAAGCTCTTGCATTCTGAGGACTGAGGAGAGCTTGGTTCGTTTGAATGGGGCTAGCCTTGAGTTTGTCTTAGGTCAACCTATGTCACATCCGGGTGGTTTCCTGTGGAGCCCTCCCCTTGGTCAGGTTAGACAAGCTTTTGTGTACCTAGTTAATCTGAGTAAGTGTTGATCCTGGCCTGTTCCCGGCTGCCTCTTTGGTTATGATTCAATCGAGATTCCCAACCTCCCCAGTTTGTTTTAACTCCTTTTCGTCTCAACTAGGTCAGCTTTTTATTTCCCATGTCCATATATTTTTTCTCCTCTCCCACTCCCTTAGTGAAAGATTTCTTGATTTTTTTCCCATGGGCAGAATACAGCGGCCTCTCATTTTGATGGGCCCTACTAACATCAGCTATGTTTAGTTTACTTTGTGTTTATATTTAGTTTGTTTTGGGATTCATTCCCTCCCCTCTCATTTTAGTCATCCATAAATTTTTAAGTATAAATTTTATAATCATTAGATTTTGATGGCATGGAGCGTATTTTGTAGGACCCCCTTAAGAGGATTGCGGTATTGTGGTGTATGGAGGATTGAGTGGTGACTGACAAGTTTTTATGGTGAATGCGGAAATTGTAATGAGTGAATGGGTCATGAATCAGATTAGCTAGGTATAAGATGGTGTCAACCAGCCTCAACCACACCCCATTTCTCAGCCTTGTGCCATAATTGTGTATTTTCACAATAAATCTCAATACTTTAAGATACAGTCATACACATTATTTTTGATTTCATAATTGTTATATTTTTTTTTAAATGATTTTACTATATAAAAGCCATTATGTTGCAAGGGGGTTACTAAGAGTGAAAGAAACAAAAGACAATAAAAGAACAAAATTCAAGGAGGCAGTAGATGATGATTTGCTTTACATTTAAATTTTTGAAGATTCTATTTGACAGGAAAGCAAGAGGCTGGAAGAGAGTTCTCCAAATGAAAAGTGTGAGAGAAGAAACTATTAGAATAGAACTTATGGTTACAACTAGCAATTTCAACAACAAAATGAGACCTACTTGGCAATCTAGTACTGCACTTAAATTCTTTAGGTCTGGGTACCAAAAAGAAAAGTAATATTTATTGTTTTAATACAAAAAGTGACACAAGGCCAAAAGTGGGGATATGAGTAGACTAGTCTTCAGTGTGTCTTATTTTAACTAGCCATGATTACTGACCCAAACAAACCACAGTATTCCTTACACCAAAACAACGCATTCTTACAACAGCCACCATAATACCTCAAAGTCTCTTTGTAGTCCTAACTAGTTCCCATATGTACAATTTGTCTGTGGGGGTAGGGGTAAAATAACATTTAAAAATGAAACTTCAATGAATATTTACCATGAATACAATCTATATATAAATTAAACAACATAGTGTTGGTATTAACACCCTCCCAAATACCAAAGAAGAAAGCTCATCAGAACAATTTCCATGAAAATATTTATAGAAAAGGTACAAGAAAGCTATATTATGGTGATGAGAAAATGACTGAAGCAGTGATGTCAAGACTGATAACTTTGCATATGTGTCTTCAAGTGTTTGTAACAATTATTATGGGACAGTGATTGTATATTTTTTGATACTCTGTTTGAAAATAACTTGAAATTTGTGAAAGTTTATATTGTGCCAATTAATTTTTATTGATATTTTGTTTTACAGGAAAATGTTTTCTTTACTGTATAAATATTTCTTATATTTTAATATGTCCAATAATTTACAATTTTTTTCTGAAAAACAAACAAAAATACAAATGTAACTTTATTAAAATTTTTCTTTGTTATTTTTCTTTTTCTCAGGCCAAAGAGAGAGAACTTGAGCTGAAAAACCAATGGTCACAAAATAAATTAACAAAGAGGCAAACACAAGCGAAATATGGTTTTTAAATATTTTATATTTGCTGTGTACATGATATGCTGTTTCTGAACTTTTTTTTTTTTTTTTTTTTTTTTTGTATAAACTACAACTTCTTTATCAAGTGTTTTGGAGAAAGAAAAAAATTGAGAAATAGAGCATAATGTATCTTGTCTGCTCAGATTATTAGTCTAGCATTGTTATCATTCATTCTTTCAATACAAGATTTATCATCTTCTTCCATTCATTGATATTATACAGCCGATGTAAAAATTCATTCACAACCTGAAACTCAACTAAATGGACATTCATCATCTTTTGACTGAAGCCATAAATACAAATAATTGTGATGACTTCTAGTTGAAAAAAAAATGCATTTCCCCATATCAAGAGTAAGTTAAATTTTATTTGATGTCTGTTTTGTGACTAAAATTGTTTATATCTAAAACATAGTATACAAGTAAAATAAATAAAAGTTTTCAGTAACACCTTGTCTTAGTGGCTTTATTGCCTTGCTTGGGGTGAAATGATTAAAAATATGGATGAAGCTAAAATAAGCTTTTCATATTAATGTTAAAGATTTTTTGTTTTGTCTTTTTTTCATCACACAATATATTTATCTTCAAGTTTCTATTTCAATCAGTATATTTTCTGATCATCTTTAACATTTGCAATTTTTAAGATTTCTTATGTTCGTTATTGTTGTAACCTAGGGAAGGTTACTGAATAGAATAATCACACGAAGGTTGGTAATAAATGGAATGATAATACTTCGGACATGAACAACACATAGAAGATTCACCAGAAGCATGTAGAAGAAGTAGTCATCTACTAGAAATGAGTCAAATGAATTCCACAATGAATCTCCAACTGCAGACCAACATACAGTATTTACTACTGTATTTATGTGAATGGGAACATACCATTTGTAGGTATACTACAACAATTATATAAAATAATTCTGCCTGAATTTCTAGGTTGAAGAGTATTCTTTATTTACATTACTTACCTTCACACTAACATTCTCATATTTGTTATTATCAACAAACTTTTGTCCTTTGAGGCTGTCTTGCCTTCTTCAGGTGTCTATTAATCTGGTATAAACGTCATAGAATTTCAAACCAAACCCTTTTTTTAATCTACATAGGTAGACTATTCTCATTCCACTGTTCATGTCTAGAGATATCTTGTCCTTATTTAGTCCTGCTCAGTTATTACTCACCCAGTTTCCATTAAGCATGAATCTGTACTACTCTGCCCTGGGGTTGAACTCACAATTAATATGCTACCAAATTCATAAATCAATGTTTTAATCATCTAGGACAACAGAATTCTGGATTGAAGAATTGGTTCATGAATTTGGTGGTATAGTTATGAATTCACTTCCAAGGAAGACTTGATAGAAACAGGGGGAGCAATAACTGAGCAGTACTAAATTGACAGTCGAACAAGAAGATTAAGGAATGGGTCCAGTTTAAAATTCTTTGATGGCTACCAAAATCAACAGACACATAAAGAAGGTCAGAGGTTACAATGGACAAAACACTGTGATAATAATAACAAAGATGAGGATATTCGCCTTAATGTAAAGAAAAAATGTTTAATTTAATAATGACTGACAGAACAATATCATACATTATGTGTACAATGTCATACCATATACACAATATCATAAACCATGTGTACATTAGATACTTTAAAATATCAAGTTAGCACTAATAGTATTAAGACTTATTTCTTAAAAACTCTTGACACACTGTACTTAGTTACCTCCCCTGAAGCGGTAGTCAAGCGATCACATACTCACTCAGCGTTCTTCACTTCAGATAAAAATTTAACTTTCACAGAAATTTTGTCTTTGAAAATGATGAACACTACAATAATTGTCTTGAAATAAACAACACATTGATGATGACATTGTGCTGTCGAATTTACCCTGAATAAAATGATATGTATCAACATTGTGATTTTCTCTCTTCTTTTAGTAATAACACCAAAAAGCTTGTCCATGAATATGAAAGGTCTCAACTGAAAATAAGTAGACAAAATTCGTCTAAATTATTCAATGACACATGAAACATGCCAATATATATATATATATATATATATAAATATATATATATATATATATATGTGTGTGTGTGTGTGTGTGTGTGTGTGTGTGTGTGTGTGTATGTATATATATATATATATATATATATATATATATATATATATATATACACACACACACACAGTGTTTGTTGACTGCCAATTATATTTAACCATGGCTAAATTATCTACATCACTGATGAAAATGAAATAGAAATCATTATATGTTGAAGGTGACATATTTCATGATTAAATGCTAGAATAACCAAAAAATATACAAGTTTAGTCTGACATGATACAATAAAATGGCAGCCAATGAGCTACTATCTCTTTATGCCAACAGATGGTCAACAAGATATACTTGGTAGCCATTGCCCTGTCAGATGCTAACCAAATCATCATATAAAATCATCTTTTGTTTATCTTTTTTCAAGTAATTGCTTTTGAATTTTAATATTTTAAATCTTGTTTGAAATATATATCTAATGGTGTAAATTCAGAAGCAAGCAAGAACAGTGATATACTAAAAGCTTGAATTGATTTATGCCATTAATTCAACACAGATGACATTGTGTTGATGGTGAACTTAGAAAGAAAAAATGCAAAAAAAGTCTTTGACAAGGTAGCAAAGGAAAATAATAAAAAAAAAAAAAAAGACTAATTGTTCACTATAAGAAGACGGAATATAAGAAAGTGTTAGCTTCAAATTGGAGATATCAGAATGAAGCAATTATAAAAATTTAACTATCTGGGTAATTTTATAACGCACAATAGAAAATGTGACAAATCTGGAGGTACATCAGAATAATCAAAGATGCCTTTAAAAAATGAGCCAAATATTAAGATATGTTTGTAAAATAAAGCAGAAAGAAATGACAAACCATCAATTGTAACAAGAGAGAGAATGTACTATTGTCAGCAAGAGAAGCAGCCCAAGGTGTGAGCTACAAATGGAAGATGTCAAATTCAAGAAAGTACAAAAATTTAAATATCATTGATGCTGAGAATACCATAGATGGAACACATGAGCAACAAGGAAGTTCTGAAGAAAATAGGAACTAGAAAGTAACTTACTTTTAAAATCAGAAAGATTTAAAATTTCTAGAACATATGAGAAAAGAGGACTTGGAAAATTTAACACTCATAAGTCATAAGGAATATGATACAAAAGGAAACATTGAGTAACCTGTGTGAATGGATGGCAGAGTGGGGACTGATGTTAATGATAATATTAGCTGTTTCTCTACAAGGAAACATTTGCCATTCATTGACACAACAGCCAGTACAGGTTTTGGTTAAAACTTATAAAATCTTTCTCTTAAAAGTCCAGTTTTCAAGGAAATAAAAGTTCAGTAGCGATATCACTCTTTCCAGTATTGATGTGTGTTTCCTTCTTAAACCTATTATTTGAAGTAGTGTGGAATGAGAACATCTTGATTATGTCATCATTTTCTCTTCTAGTTACATGTGCTGTCTATTTTATCTGTTGCTGCTGTTGGTAGTCCTCAAGTGATGTGGTTTCTGTTATTTGGTACAGTTCTTTGTGAATCTGTATCATCAGTCCACAATGTTCAAAGAAAGATGATCTTTGCTAAGACCTTCAGGCTTCACTCAAAGCTTTTTTTAATCATTGATTTGAGAAAATGATTGTATACAGCTGACAGTTTAGATATTTCTGAACAGGTTTGGCATCATGCATGACATCCATCTGACGAGGCTATTTAAATTTTCTGATTGATGTTTTGGTTTTCTAACAATTTGTGATGTTGGACAAAACCATGTTTCGCACAGCATGTTCTATGTTCAATTTCCTTTTCTCCTATACTAAGTTTGTTATAATTGATTAATACACTGAGCCATCTGAAGTGTTTAGTATTTACTCATTCCACACTCTGAATTTTTATGATAGATATATGCCATCTCTGCTTTTCATTCCAATTTCAGATCATAGTTTCTGTTTTGGAAAGGTTTATCTTGAGTTTTCTTTTTTGAACCACTTGGTATAGGATGTTGATTTTCTGTTCAAAATCTTTCTTATCCCAACATTGAATACGTGTGCCATCAACATAGCCAAATCTCATCATCAGTACATTGGCCTTAGGAGGAAAATTGTTTTCTATTAGTAGATTTGTTTGGAATGCGATATAGAAACCTTAAGTGGTCAGTGCCCGTTTCCTCATATTTGTGTTTGTAAATGTACAGGGCATGGTCTAGGAAAATATTAAATATACTAGAACTTTCATTTCCTCCTTGTCATACTCTTAATAAGGTTTGAAATGTTTCTGTATTGTGGTCCTCACCAGACATTTTTTTTTCAACTCTGGATTGTTGTCCCATGGGTGTATGTTTTTCCTTGTAAGTATTCTTGGCAGGGTCTTGTCTACTTCAGCTAATAATGAATTAATAACATTAATTGATTCCTGTATAGTATTTTGATCCTGGTTTACTGACATCATTTTGGACTATAGTTTATTACTGAATTCTAAATTTACCCTTTCATTTTTAAGGACTTAGGGTTTTTCTTGGTTTAGGTTTGTGGAAGCAAGCTATTTTGTTGGCTGGTGTTGTCAATTTAGTTACAAGTAGTCTGTGATCTGATTCAAAATAGGAGTTATATATTGTAACATCTCTCACAAACTGCCAAATCCAAGAGTCTGAGATCCTGAAGTCAATTATCTTTTCTGTTTTATTATCTCGACTATGCTATGTGTTGCAGTGTTTCATGAGATGATCAAACCGTGTGTTAAGGATGGGTATCATTTTGAGTAACAAGTTCTCAATTGATGTTTGAGGCTCCTGTCACAACAGGTGATGTGTTATCATCAAAAGAGCAGTGACGTTTAAAATTGCTTTAGGTAGCATTAAAATAATCATTAATGTACAGTTTTCTTCTTTTTTCTAATATACAAATTTTACTCAACCCTGTGTACAATTTTCCTTT